GGGCAGTAAGTGGAAATTAAATTTTAATAAAAAATGCATATAAGTAATAGAATAAGAAAATGCATTACTTAAGCATTCCATCTTTCAAATTTCAAATCACATGTTCATGTTCTTTTTTTTTTTTTAATCACTCAATATTCCACAGAGAAAGGTTCAAGTAAAATGAATTGCAACATCATGTATTTAAAGATTTTTTATTGATTTTCTGACCTTATAATTCACTTAGGTTACAGCTGTAAGCTTTAAAGTAAAGGACAAGTGACCATGGTAAATATACTACACTCAATTTGGCATGATTTTAATGAAGGAAGGGAGAGAGAGGAGAGAGAGAGTGACAGAGAGAAAAGAAAGAGAGAAAAGAAAGAGAGAGGGAGAGAGAGAGAGAATAAAAAAAAGAAACAAAGAAAAGAAACACAATACAAATGACCCAAATGTAACAATGTACTATCCCTATACCTTACTATACATGAGCGTTTTTTTTCTTTTTTATTGTTACAATGAATAAATCAACAAAATGCATTTCTTTGACACACAAAACAAACTCAAGAAATTCATCCGCGCGTCTTTTAACAGAATTTTTTTAATTTGAACTTTTTGTACTTTTTTTTTCTTTTAAGCCAATCCAAAACAGAATTACAACAAAATATAATTAAATGCAACCATACATTATAATTAACAACAGAGGTGGTGTGAAGCTACACCATTACCCTAAGTTATTCTTAAATTATGACCACATTATTATTTTACACTTCTAGAAATTCAAATTTGAGTTAAAAATGTCAATTCTAACATCTAAACTCAAGTCTATTTAAATATGTACTAAGCATGAATATTTATGACCATTCATTAAAAAAAATCTCTGCCTCTGAAAGTCTGTGTGGTACACAGGACAAAGGGGGAAAAACAATGAAAAAGGCAATAATAATAATAAATAAGAATAAATAACAAAAATACCAAGGATAATCAAAACCATAATCTATCATAATGATATCACTTTCCAAGTTGCAGAAGGTAGGCAAACTCCAAACCCTTCCCGCTCAATGGTGTAGCCTCCACTCCACACATGAACTATTCCCCCCCCCCCTCTACCAGAAGCACTTCTTTACTGTTGCATTTGCATAGCAACCTCATTGCTACCATACAGATTCTGACACTTACCAAACAGCTATGTACAACAGGGAAGATAAGTTTTAATGAGACTTCCCATGTAAAATACCTTTGCCAAAATAACAACTATAGGATGATAAGCTTAATGTACCATGAAGAGCCAAACTGCAGATAAAAAGGCAAATAAAATCTTTAGAAAACTCGCCAGATAGACATATAACGCCTACAAACATTAGAAAAATAAACCTAGGAAGTAATCAACCTCTCAGAACATGATGGAAAACATTCCATTCTGCATAAATCTCAAGCTAAGAGATATCTTGATGAAATGAGCACCTACTTTCATAACACTTCAATAAATATATATTGATAAGACTTTTTCTTTCTTTTTTTCCTTCTAAGTTAAATACTTTTAGCTACAATTCCAGCTGAATTCGGGTAAGACATGCACACATTATCAACAGAAATATACCCATCTACTTATTGAGACTGGATCAGGAATTGTGTTCCTCAGAAAGTACATCAATAGGGCTTTCTACTTTTCATATGGTCTATGGGGAAACTGAGCTTTGCTGAGGTACTAATTAAGGCACAAGCCGCTGATCAAGTCAAAACATCTAACTTCCCCAGCAGGAAGAATCAGCCTAATATTCTTTGTGAATGAAAGAAACACACGATTATATGTATATATATGCCTTTATATATTCAGAAGTAATTTTGTGAAAGTGTGACTATAAGGACCCGATGCACTCAAAAGCCTCTAACACTCATACAAGACGACTCCCTAAACAAAAAACAATAATGAGAGGGAAAAAAATCAATAACGAAAAAAAGAAAAAAGAAAAAGAAAGGCTGCTGGGGAGGTCTCATGGCATGCTGACATCCACTGCCACAAGCTTTTCGTCGTAGAGGTTGAGAGATGGTTACCATCTTTCTGTCCCTTGAGAAGATGACAGGTTGCAACAGATTTCAACAAGCCTTTACTTAGACTGGTTCTTACAAATTTCTGTTTCAGGTTAATATTTTTTTTCTCTTTATTTTTTGCTTTATGGGCTCTGCATATTCCAAGGAGTGGTTAGCAAGTATCTAATCCTTTTTTTATATACATACACAAACACACATATATAAATATATATATATGACCATAAACAGCTCTGCTGAAGTAACTTAATCAAGTTTTTCTTATCATCTGGTACATGAAACTTGTATTAATGAGTAAACAATCCAATATTTACATATATGACTTTATATTTGTATTCTAATACTTAAATTATTAGAAGTCCATAGGAAGTATGGTGCAATTTGTTGCAAGTTAGGTCTTTTCAACTCAAATTTCATGCAGTAGTAAGTCTTTCGTAAAAACTGTCTTCTTCACAACAGCAGCAGCAGAACTGGACATCCAAGAAAACAAACAAGGGTAAAAAGAGATTTTGGAATCATACTTCAAGGGGACTTACAAATGAGGGAGAAAATCTGAATGCCGACCACCAAATACCCACATCAAGTTTATCAGGTTGATTCAAAGTCATACATACGCTGCAACCAATGCAATTAATGAACACATGAAGCAAGAGAGACATCAACCTTCCTTTTTTTTTTTTTTACACATCATTTTCATTTACTTTGTTAACACTACATCTCACTATTATGTCACAGGTAAACCAGTCTCACAAACTTTCACATATGCAAACTTTTTTTTAGTTAATTTCTGTCTTTAATAATGCACAAAATCCTTAAGTGGCCATCCATCTATAAGTCCTTCTTTAACATGTTTAACTGGATGTGGTCGGAGACTGAGGAACTGGAACTGGTGCAGTTTTGGGAATCACTTTCCTGGGAACTGAAGCACCTGCTGGTTTGCTCACTTCGGATGCTCCCTTTATTAAGCTCTCAGGTTTGGCAGTGCCTGACTTTGTGTTGGCATTAGTACTCCCTTTACTAGTCTGTGTTGATGATGTAGCTTTCGCTGACTCTGCTTTAGTGCTTGTTTCTGTTTTACTCAAGTCTAGCTTGACCCTGGCTTGATTTTGGCTCTTGTTTTCTGCTGTCTTTGACTGGCCTTGTGCTTGCTGTTGTGTCTTGTTGGTATTGGAAGTAGCCTTGTGCTGTGCTGTTGTCTTAGTCTTTTTGTAGTTCCCACCATCTGCTCTTTGCCGTTGTGTCTGTCCACTTGAATGCCGACTTCGAGATCTGCTCACCTGTTGGAAGTAACACTTGAATTAGTGTTGCATATAGTAATGAAAATTTGGGTCTCCTGCCTCAGGCAGAACCTGCTTCTGACAGAGAAATGCAAATTCAAGAAAAATGTTAATACATAATATTTTTCACCATACAAGAAATTCCAAGGCAAACTTTGATGACTGATGGGTTATGAACATTCTACAATCTAAAATGAAATGTGATTTTCCCCTAAGAATAATGTGCCACTAGAGTTCCTTACCTTTGATGTGGTATTTCCTCCCGAGCTATTTCTGGACCTAGGATACTGGTTATAGTAATAGTAGTTAGCCTGTTCTGGATCTCCGTCACCTTCTGATGCACGTCGCTGACGTCTTCTTGAGCCTCCTGAGCTACTCCCATATCTGTGATGGCTCTCATATTCTCTAAAGCTCTCATTCTCTGATCTCGTGCGCACACGCGCTTTTCTGGCTTCCCTTGCTGCATCATATTCCTCTGGCTGTTGTGAAAAGAAAAAGCAGCATGAAAAACAGTGAACACAGCTGTAGCCTAGCTTGCTCAGATTAATTCTAAAAAGATACATATTTAGCTCTGACGCAGCAGCGGGCCGCGGCCGATGGGCGGACAGACTCCAGAGAAGCTCCGCCCGCCGATTTTGTAGCTACCCGGAAAATTTTATTCTAGGCTACAAAATGTACCCGTCGTGAATGGGTTAAATATGTTTAACTTTTTTGCAGGCCTAAGATACGAACTAAACTACACAATTCTTTACAAAAATTTGAACATGATTACTAACGTCCAACACAAAGAACATTTTAGGGGGTACATTTTTTCTCAGTTTTATCTATTCAATACTGAGAATTGCAACCTAACAGGCTAGCACTTCCATAATTTTGGCCCTGAAAGCAAGCACTGCTCTGGCCTGGGCTCATTCCCAGCTACTGGAACCTCCCCCCTTTTTAATTACAATGATGTACAAATAAACTATGGTAAATTGTAATATCAAGATTATAATACTTTCCCTGATAATAAAGAAATACATGCCATTTGCTATATCCAACTTCAAAGGTAAAGGAAACAATGAAATCATTCATAATAATCGCAGTCAAATATTTTTCATGTTTATGTACATGACCCTGTTTGAACGAGGTCATATATCTATCATAGCCGCAACAGGTTGTAATTTTTGCACTGTTACATTACATAACTTTATTCTGAGGCAATATTTACATAAGCAATTCTTTAGATATAAAGGTACTAAAGTCTGGATTCTCCTAACCTAAAGCTTTTCCTCACACATGCAGTATAATCCCCTGCAAGCACAAAAAGGCCAAGACAAATATTTTCTTTATCTAATCATGTTTTGAAGAACACATTACATACCATTTCAACTCTGAAATCCTCAATACTCTTGTACTTGGCCAGTCTTTGCTTCAGATCATCTTTCACCTGAAGGTTTCCAGCATTTTTGTAATATTTGAGGAATGCCCAGAACTTCTCGAGTCCATACAACTGGCCAGACTGTACATCCTGCAGAGTCTCATCTTGGAAGTCATTGTAGATTTCGTCTCTAAAGTGCTTCTCTAGTCCATAACTGAAGAAGCGGAAGAGGCACTCTAACCCATATCTGAAAATAATCCATTGTCATGTTACAGGTCCACTGCAATTCCACCACTCCCAAAAGACATACATTATATACATAATCCTCATCTTTC